TCTACTGAGATTTGATGAATCTATGTAATCTTGCTTTATTAACACGTTTTGAAGAAAATAAAAGCCAATTCAGCGAAGTAACGTTTCTTTATCGACGAAATCATCTTCATCAGAGGCTGTACAGTCGTATTTATATTTACCAAAAAGGTATAGCGGTCCATGATTCAGTAATAGGGAGGGGGGAAGGACATAACTGATATAATTATTTAGAAGTGGCTTTATAAGTAGAAATAAAAATTGTAAATTACGTAGTACTCAGTGGCACAAAAGAAGAAAGTGTTAGAAATTTGATAAGGTTAAAATTCAGAACAAAAATAGTTACACAGAACAACTGTGGTTTCAATAAATTCTTCTTCAGACTCTACAATTATAAATCTATTAATTTAAGCATACAATAGCCAGCCAATAAAGGCAAATTACAATCACATCAGTAAGTGTATTGTGGAACAAGTGTAAGATGGGGTGGAACACAAGTCAGTTAGGCTTTTAATATGCATGGTCAATGAGAACAAGAGATGAAATAATTTAATGATGTGTGTATATACGATACAAAATAGAATTAGCGAAAATACAGCTTTCGAGAGTGCGTTTAGTCAGTGGTGAGTGAGCCAGTATGAATACTACAGAAAATAAACCAACGAATGAGGTGGACTAGATATAAGTTCAAGGTTCAAAGTAGCGACAATAATAATGACTGTAAAATAACAACGATGGTGTGGTGTAAACTTAGAAATACTATTGGTGAATTATTATCATATAATAATGAATTTTACGAATTGGTCACGGATTGACATCAGTTAGAGAACCATTGAAAACCGGGGAGTACTGGACAACTGTTTCATCCTAGTTTGGGAATCATCGTCAGTACGCACCCACTGGGGTTCGAACCCCTTACTTTCCGGTTACAAGGCAAGCTGGCTCGTATACCATTCAGCCACTAGGACCCGATTCGATGATACATGAATTCAAACTTCTACCAAATCGTGATTTAGCGCGACTGGCATCAACCAATGTCATCGGTGGGACATCCATCTTCACACTTGACTGGACGTACCTCACTGGTCACGACTTCTCACTAAAACTCCAGGACTGAAATAGGGCGACGATGGATACCGAAGATAAGAAACCTTTGTATCTTAGATTAAGTTATAAAGGGGAGTTGCAGCTGATATTAGAAAATGTGGACTTCACAGAGCAGTAGAGAGAACATTTCCTGCACTTAAACTAGTACTCAACTTATCAACTAAACCAGTACTTACACAACGAGTCCAGCATAAATTACCAAAGATGGCCTTATCAATGTTTATGTATCAATTCAACTGTTCATGTGCAGCTAGTTACGTTGGCTGTATTCAGTGAGCTTTATCCATGCGCGCACGTGGACATGTACCTGTATGGTTGAGAAAAGGAGTAACCAAATGCGTAGACAGTGCAGTCTTAGCCTACTTGGTAGATACTGGACACTCGATAAGACTTGACCAGGCGTTCTCATTTATTTACAGCGTTCCTAGTAATCTATCTAGAGGAGCTCGACTACGTCTTCTATTAGTAGCTGAGGCGGTAGCAATCAATACCAGAAGGCCGGCTCTTCATTGTATACAGAAGAGGTATGCTCAACCGCTATGTTGACCTTGGCCTACAATAAGGCCAACAAATCCTCTACAAACATCAACACTTTAAATTCCTATCAAAATTTTTCCCTTTCTTTGTCTTTTCCTTTGTTTCATTGACAAACGTTCATTTCTAACCTTTTACGATTTCATGAGCTTCCTTAAGGTAACAGAAATTATAAGTTTTAGTAATGCCTTTCTAACTTGTTATCATATTTTCAAAATCCCGTTCATTTCACTTCGCTGAATTCATTAGTATTATTATTTGACAATCATTCACCAATAGTACTTCTTAGTTTACACCACATCATCGTTATCACTTCACAATCACCACTACTGTAAAAAAGAAAAGGCTGGAAGGCATGTTAATTTGGTACATAGGTAAATTTGGTATACCATATTTGCAAACCGCCATTTGCACATCATTTACCACATCCTTGACGAATTGGTCGAACATCGTCACATTCGATAGCCTCTTGGATTCTGCATCATATGGCAACATTCTTCTCATAGTTCTCTTCTTTGATTGCTCTTTCCAGTGTGCATAGCATATTGTTACTTTTCTGAATCCGCTTTCTGATATACTACTTATATCGGATTATAAGTAGTACTCACCACACTACTATCGTTATTTTCACTCTTGAACTTATATCTCTAGTCCACCCTATTCGTTGGTTTATTTTCTGTAGTATTCATATTGTCTCACACACCATTAAATACACTCACCCTCGAAACCTGTACATCATTAAATTATTTTATCTCCTGTTCTAAACTAACTGACTATGGTTCCATCCCATCTTATATTTGTTCCATAATACACTGTCTGATATGATTCTAATTTGCCTTTATTGGCTGGCTATTGTATGCTTAAATTAATAGATTTATAATTGTAGAGTCTGAAGAAGAATTTATTGAAACCACAGTTGTTCACCCTAACTATTTTGTTCTGAATAAATTATGGGAATATTCAATGTTAAAATTGTTATTGAGTGAGAATAAAGGTAGTTGAGTGTCGATTTAAGAAGTGTGAAGAGGGTGAGAAAATTAACAAGAGGAACGTGTGAGAGTAATAATAGTAACTTAAGTAATAAAGTAAAATCAAGAATTTAAAAATTTACAGGTGAAGAGGTTAAGACCATGTGTCATACCTCCTATTACTCAATAATGGACCACTATGCATTTTTGGTAAATATAAATGCGACTGTACGGACCTCTGATGAAGATGATTTCGTCAATAAAGAAAAGTTTCTTTGCTGAATTATCTTCTTTATTAAGACGTTTGTTGCCTGTTTTATAATTAAGCAAGGTTGGAAATTCAGCCATTACTGATCGAATATGAGTTATTATATATTACCGTTAGACAATCATATCGAAAGGAAAATAAATCAACTCAATTTGTTACGCATCTCTTGTTACCCTTAATGTAACACGTTTGTGTTTAAATAATAATCATAGTGTGGTGAGAGATAGTTGCTATCCAAATTGGTAGACAGTAATTGACGTCAATTCCTATGTCTCAATTATTAGTCATGTGAAAACAAGGTCAAAGATGGACAGCAGACTTTGCGTAGGCGGATACAATTAGCAGATAGATGATTTGACACTCAAGAGACAGCATCAAAGAGATGAAAGATTAACTTTTAGTGCGAAACAACCAATCAGAAAACTGTGTTTGTCAGCTAACAACTGTCTATAATAATGTACACGAAAATCTATAAATATGTGTTAATTTCCATAATAAACAATATGTTGCCTGACTCTTGTCTTCTGTCGTTACAGTAGTAATGATGTTAGCTAATTCTGATAACATTAAATGACTGAGTACATTAGCGATATGGCGAATGGCAAAATAAAATGAAAGCGGGTTGCTGGAGGACATATTACTCTTCTCAAATATACCGACTTAGTTTAGTGTAGTGAATTGTATAGGTAAACAAGACTAAACTAACTGGTGATTTGAAGAAACTGAAAATATATGAACTCTACTCACAACTCTCTTTCGTTATATAACTTGAAAATTTCTTAAGGATGCTTCAAAAGTTAGAGATGTCTTATAACGGGACAGTTCATAAAAGAATTCAGACCTACTACAATATTAATGGATTACTAATCATACTGAGACAGAACAACCTAGCGGAACAGGGAATTGAAAATACTCTACATAATTTTCCTGATTTATGTTTAGTACAAGCACCTCCAGACACCAGAAGGGACAGTTAAACTTATCGGTGTCCAGCAGTTTTCTGATCTGGAGGCGGAATTTGACTGCGTCGATCAAGTGTTACTATGGAAATGTATGGCCTTAAATGAAGTGCCGAGCCAGTACACCTCACTGATAAGGGCACTCTACTCGGACGTAAGTATGTAAGACCTTACGGAGAGTTGTCATCTTAAGTGATGACAACCAATGGTGTCCATCACGGATGCCCACTGATCTCAACGACTTAGGGGTTGAGTTGTTATCACGGATTAGTCTTGTTGACTTGGGAAATGCTGAAGATACAATGCCCCTGGGTGAAAATGCTAATAAACACAAAGTCATCTGAACCATTCAAGCAAAAAATCTTCGAATGCTTAGCATGCGATTCGATCCTGTCAAATGTAAAAATTACTACAGGACTAAACTGCACTGACTCCTAGCTTAAATACAAAGAGTGAAGTGATAGAGAGTGTTATCCACCACAATTATTTGGAGAATTGCATCAGCCACAACGGGCTGATTATTGACAAAATCTCAGCACGGAAACGAAAGCCTCGTGTGGCATTTACTAACTTGCTTCACCTCTGGCGTACACATGATATCCGGCTGGCTCAGCAGTTTTCCCTACATTCCTTCTTAATTATGAGACAAGGTCAATGAAAGTGGAATATATGAAAAGGTCAGCTGTCTTTTGTCACAGGTGTCTGCATTCTCTCTCCCAATTTAGGTGAGAAATACTGAGGTTAGGCGTTGAGTGTTAGTAAAAGACAGAGAGTCAATCGACGGTTGCGATGGATAAGACATGTGTTATGCATGTCTAGCCGTCGCCTTCATCGATGACTAATGTTAGATGACACACGATTAGATTAGGAAAGAGCTAGTAGTGGTCAAAGCAAAGCTTGGAATCAGTCCCTAAGATTCTTTGACTGTTAGTTTCGGAAATGCAGGTACATTCGGCAGACGAGTCCCAAATAGGATGAAATGCGCATCCTGGTAGTGTTCCACTGCTAGTCACCATCCACCAAATGGCTTCAAATAATTAATGCCTCCCAATTTAAAGATAATTAAATATTTACGCACAGTGTAATTTTTAATATATATTATATTTTACTAAAACCTTTGAAATCACAGCACAAAAAAGTTAAGGTGTACTAGAGATAATTAAGTACAAAGCAGAGTTTATAAAATAATCAAGCATCTTTTTGTAAAGATTTCAATATTTCATCTCGTTTAATTGCTATTTCAGTGAGTAGAAATGCTCGTACACTAACATCTTCTACTTGATTTATTTCATTTCGTAGCCGGTTAACTAATTCACTCAACATTTCTTCTTCTTCGTTTTTATCCATAATATTAGGGCCATCATTATTATTTTTTGACGACCTCTGCTGTTGAATTCTCTTCATATGATATTCAAATAAACGTTCAGCATAATCGATCCATACACAGTTGGCGCATCCAGATTCACAGCAGTAATAGTGTTGTGGTGCTTCAGGTTCTGATGGCTCATTTGTTGTTGTTGTCGTCATCGTCGTGGAAGATAAGCCTCCTTTCTTCCATGCTGGCTTTAATCGATTCGATATAATAAAGGAGGGTATAGTGGCTATTTGATGTGAATTCAGTCTACGTAAGGAACCAATAAGCATTCACTTCGTTGAATTAATATGAAAATAAAAGAAATAAGTATTAGACATTCGGCTAATATGTAAAATTAAAAAACACAAACTTGGTGTCACACAAAATCGCATAGTTTGTGAGGTGGATGTGATCCTAACCGGACAACCAGACGGAAGCAACTAGTTATCTTAGGCAGTCACGCCTTGAACCGAACCTTTGACTTCAACTATGATCCACAAGGCAGTGAAAATGTGTTCCCATGGTTTCCGATCACCAGAACAGGTTGACATACACTATTAGATCCTTTCGGATTCTAGGACTTATGTACACTGCAGCTTTGGAATCAGGGTTTTCGAGCTCTTTTAAGAATTCCTGCATGTCGATCAGTTCTGTGGCTGTAAGCACCAGGCGTTCAAATTCGTCCTTTCATTTTCGTGAGGTACACCCATGCCACGTGGATGGACTGAATAGGAGTCACCTGGTAGAAGCTATGAACACTGGGTGGTATGAGAGCGTTTCAAGAGGAAGACTGAAGTCTACGCAGCCTCGGCCGTACCATATCGTTCATTGGGGCATCGAAATCTTTTGTGTAAATTCTAAATAGTACTTATTTCGGCTTTACATATCTCATATAAATTTGTTTATAACCCTGTTAATCTGTCTAAGTTGGTTTGGTTAGGACCACAGGTGGTGACTTGAAGCCACTATTGACTATATAGAGAAGCCTGATATATAGACAGAAAAAGTTGGTTTACGTAGAAGCAATTTCCTTTTAAATTTGTCGGTAACCAGCGTCCAATACGCGCGAATAACATAGTACAGCGCACTCATCAGCACTGTCTTCACCTTATACATGTAATTACTGCAATGTTACAAATTTGCACTCAAAATTCGGAATAACTGTAGGATACGAGAACTAGTGGTTAATTTGAACTCATCGTATGTGTAAATAAAACCAGCCACTGGAATTGTTATAGACATTCAGATTATAGATGTTGAGAACTCCCTGGAATAATCTGAACCCTGCGTCAGATCTAATTATTTTTTTTAAATAATCCCAGCGCGTTTAGAAAATCAAGAGAGGGTCTTTCTGAACGTTTAGGGACTGATTCCAAGCTTTGCTTTGACCACCACTAGCTCTTTTCTAATCTAATAGTGTGTCATCTAACATTAGTCATTGAGGAAGGCGACGGCTGGGCTGGCCATGCATAACACATGTCTTATCCATCTCGATCGATGTAGCTTCACAACCTCGTCGATTGACTCCCCGTCCTTAACTAACACTCAACGACTAACCTCAATATTTCTCACCCTGTTATACCACCTTACATGAGAGAATAAATGAAGACACTCACGATAAAACAGTGTAATCCACTTTCAGTGACCATGTCTCACAGTCAGGAAGGAGGGTAGAGATGACTTCTGAGCAGTACATACATACTTTGATCGATAGTCAGTCGGATATCATGTATACGCCAGAGATGAAGTAAGTTGGTAAATGCCACACGAGGCTTTTGCATCCGTGCTGAGATTTCGTGAACAACCAGCCCATTGAGGTTGACGTAACTTCTCGAATAAATGGAGTGGTCAATACGCCCCACTACTTCACCACCTATCTTTAAGCTTGGAATCAGTGTGTAGTTTAGTCCTGTAGCAACATCTTGTAGTTAGTGGGAGCAAATCGTATACCAAGGTTTCGAAGACTGCTGCTCCAAAGGTTCAGAAGACCCTGAATTTTGTCAGAATCTTCATCCAGAAGGAAAACATCATACCAGACTGTCCCTTGGTAACAAGTGAGTCTCTAAGCCGCTATAGTCGATTAGGGTCAAATCATTTAGTACACCACCTATGATGAAATCAGATAAAAATGGGTACTCAAGAGATCCCGGATGGACACTGCTGGTTGTCATTACTTCAGGTGATAACTCTCCGTTAGCTCATACGCGGCTACGCTTGAGTACAGTGTCTCGAGATTAATGTGAACTTTTCCCATACCTTTTAGACATTCTTTAAATATAGGAATTGAGGAGGAAGTTTAATTAAAATAATGCTTTTTTGTTCGAATGAATAATATTTCAAGTATAACCATTTTATATTACATCAAGAGAATATCACTAAATGGATTATTGCCATTCAATTTAACATACTGCTAAAACTGTCCACTATATTACAGTTTCAACTAGTCATTAAATGCGCATTACTGGATTTTGTGTTGGTAGCTTCATGCCATGCCATGACACCCACCAACTTAAGTTGAATATTTGATGGTTACCAAAAACTAAATGGCTGTCAAACCTCTGCCTGGGCTATGAAAAGGCCCTCGACAGCGCAGTAATGTGGAAACTAATTTAACACATTGGGGTGCGGCAAATCTTTATCAACCTCATTCAACAGCTATATGATAATGCCACGTGTCAAGTGATCCACAACGGAAAAGTCAGTGAAACCGCCTTTGAAGTGAATATAGGGGAAAGGCAAGGCCACCTATTATCACCGATGATATTCTTAACTGTGGTGGACTTGACTATGCAACACACCGTAAGTGTGGAGTGAGAAGATAGGAATACGTTGAAGCGATAAGTTGACTCTAAAAGATATGGATTTTGCGGATGATTTATGTCACATAAACTAGAAGAATTACAGGCGAAAACCAGCAAACCGGCAGAAGAGGCTGGCAGCAAAGTAAGGAATTCAAGTGAACATACAGAAAACGGAGGTGGAGAAGACAACGAACCAACCAAACAACAACAACCAGCACCAGTCACCATGAACGGGAGAAATATGAAAAACATCACTTCCTTCCCTTATCTAGGAAATTTCGTTCCAACTACAGCGACAGCGCTGATGAGGATGTCAAAACCAGCCAGAATCAGAAAGGCAAGACAGAACTTTTTATCACTCTTAAATCAGTATGGGGATCTTCTGCACTCAACAAGAAAAACAAGATTCGGATTTCCAAAACCAATTTTAAGTCTGTCCTTCTACGCCAGGCCATCGCTGGAGTGCAATAATCTGAACGAGAAATGATCTCTGGGGTGTCGCTTTGAGCATGACATGGAGATAATGTGAGGATGAGGAGATGAGAAACTATGGGTTGCCGTGGGGCCAGTTTAAGAGAATCGCAGAGATTAGGAGGACAAAATGGAGATGAGCTGTTGAAGCCCTATATACCGTTCCACACTCGGAACCCAAGGGAACAATAATAATAATCATAATAAATATACTAGAATAGGTTGAAGCAGATACTGCAAATAAATAAATAAATTGACTTATTCCAAGCACTACAGTGCATGCGAAGTTATACAACTTCCAGTCAATACAAAAGTCGTAAATACAAAAGGATAAGAAGATTTTATTAAGAAAAAATAATCACAATAAAAGTAATTCAATATATATATGTATATACTTAAAAATCCAGTAAATATTGCATCGTATTGGAAAACATGTCTAATGGTCCGGTCAGCAGCATATATATGTATATCACCAGGTTATTCTTTGCTCCAGCGAATATGTATCTGTCGGAGAAGCTCATGACGTTGTTCTGGGATATTTAATGCTGGATCAATATTGAGGAGTTTATTGGAATTAAGTAAATCTTTTAGATTATGATAAACCTCTGAATTACAAGTCGATGTATCATTATGCTCTTCTTGTTCAATGATATTAGTTTTACTACGTAGACAGGACAGACCAGAAAGAGAAAGAAATGTATGCAGTGGATCTAAAATAGAGAGACAAAACGAAAGTCACTAGCTAATTTAGGCCTTCAACCACTATTATTATTATTATTATTATTATTCTATTCCTCTACATTCCGAGTAAAACACAGGGCTTTAGGCTAGAGCTTTGACGTTTCACTAGCAGTAATGTTTATTTCTACGGGGTGGGGTTTCTAGCTTCACACACACACAACCTTCCTTCTTTATCGACCCTACTACCAGCGACTTAGCAAGGTTTAGAAGTGCATCAGTCAGCCGGGGATCGAACCTCAGACCACGTGAGGTTTGGTTGGCGAGCGTTCCACCGGTGAACCACTGACGCTTAAGACCTTAAATCTAGTAGTCAACATTTATTTATAAACTGAAAATATAATGAACATTAAAATCGTTAATCCATTTGTGATTAATCTTTATTGTATTGCTACTAAATTAATTCTTTTTTAACATTTAGAAGATAAAAGGATTAGGCGAGGATATATTTACTTCTCAATGAGATCCTCGCTTATGATTCCACTTAAATATATATATATATATATATATATATATATATATATATATAATCTTAAATATATTACATTAGGCGAAAATAGACAACGGTATTCCTGTATCCACTACAAAGGAACTTATTTTAAGATGTACGATGAATGTTCATCTCTTGTTCATCAAGAAATTCTATAGACAAACTGAGACTGTGGCTATGGGTTCCCTATGAGGACCAATCCTAGCTGAGTTTACTCCTTCAGAAGTTAGCGAATAGACCATTGAAAGGATTAATTTACTGACTGACTGGACTCAACATAGAACTTTGCACCGATGTGCAGCAGTTCGAGTTGCCACACTCCATGTAGCACACAAAGCAAGAAAAGAAAGTAAAACGAAATGCGAAATTGAGACAGTAAACCCAAATATGAGGCAGAAAGAAGAGTAATATCGAAGAACCATATAGTTCTATCGGATATTATAAATGACAAGGAGTGGATGCATCTACGCCCCTGACAAGGAGACTTTGAGCCTCCATTGGTTTTTACCATCCCGAGGATCCCAACCAGGTAGTCTACACCTCCCTACATGGCTGGCTTAAACTAACTGTTGTGGATTTCATTGACTGTTGCTATGTTTTCGTTTGACCACCTCTGGCTCTTCTTTCCAAGCTGACCCTTTGTTATCTAACATTGCCCATTGAGGAAGGTAATGATTTTTTTTTATTCCTTTACGTTCCCAGTGGAACATAGGGCTTCAAGCTGGAGGCTTGAAGTTTCTGTAGCAGTGTTTTTTTACAGGATGGGGTTGCTAGTCCCATGCCCAACCTTCTCTCTTTGCCAGTTCTATTACTAGCTTTAGCGAGGTAAAGGAGTGCGTCGGCCGGGGATCGAACCCCGGACCATGTGCATGGTCGGCGAGCGTCCTAACCGCTATGCCACCGACGCACACGAGGAAGGTAATGATTAGGCATACGTAACACATATCCTAACCATCTCAATCGATGTAACTCCACAGCCCCTCCTTATCTATCATTCGACCGGTGCCTCACGCCAATATTGCTCACCCTATCATACCACTTCATACGGGAGATAGAACGCAGGCACCTATGATCAAAGACAGCTAACTTTTTCATGTCTACCACTTTCAATGGCTATCTCTCGCTCACAGCCATAAAGGAGGACGGAGCGGACTGATGAGCAGTACACACACCCTTTGGCCGATAGCCAACCGGATATCACGTCTACACCAGAGACGGCGTAAACTGGCATATGCGAAAGGAGACTTCTGTATCCGTGCAGAAATTTCATCAACCTGTTGGGGCTGAGTAATTAATAAGTTGAAATTACACTCTCAATATATGGATGGCATATCCTTGATTATGAGAAAACGACAGTGAAACAACGAACATCCTCGATAAGTTCAATGATGCGCAATCAGCAAGGATGTCTTTTTGATCACGAAAGAGAATGGTACATTAAGAAGGAGTGTATACAGGAAACTTACGACGATAGGTCAGTACACTCCTTTTTTGAGTTTTGCACCTTTGAAATATAAACGTAACTTGGTAAAGTCTTTGACTCATAGAGCTAGGATAATCCTAGCTCTATGAGTCAAAGACTTTACCAAGTTACGTTTATATTTATAGAGCTAGGATAATCCCCGACCGAAAGCTGCTACCTTGACGTGGTGGTCGGGCTTGAACACTGCAATGACCCAACAAGCTATACTGGCTGGAACTTATGTTCCTGCAGGTCCTACCATGCCAGAAAGGTTGTTTGGATAGCAGTTAGACTAAAAGCAGTTACCCAATCCAATCCTATGATTTCAAATAAATCACAAAATTTCATGCCGGATCGGCCGGGGCCCGGATTAACAACGACCGCGCTTTCTGCTGCCGTGTCACAGGGCAGAAGTGATAAATACGCTACTGAGACACACCAAATAAAAAAGAACAAACAAAAACAGGCCGTGTGTGACCGGCCTCAAGCAGTTGTCCCCTGGGCTCTGCGGTCACGCAACCAACTTCCACGGTGTGGGCAGCCGGGAAGTACCAATCGCCCTCACAATCCGAAGTGCACGCGAAACCCCTCTAATCCTCGCTCATCTTTGTCTTCATCTTCATCTCTATTATCTTGCCTTCCTTCTACCAATGCAACTCCTCTACTTGTTAGCTCTTCACTTCCCCTTCACTCTGTGTGCACTGATAACGATGGAAGCCAAAAAGCCACCACCGATTGTCTCCTAAAACCACGCCACCAATTTTATATAGGAGCATTTAATATTAGGACACTTTGCCAAATAGGACAACAAGCATCTCTAGCCAAGACTCTGGCATCCCGAGCCATTGATGTATGTTGTGTTTCAGAAACACGCATACAAGACCCAAGTGTGGTTATTCACCTAACCCCACCTGGCCAACAGGATGAATCTGCAAAATTCACCTTGAGGGTGTCAGGAGATGCGACGGCTAGCTCACGAGGATTAGCGGGTGTTGGGATAGCTCTGAGTACTAGGGCAGAAAAGACATTACTTGACTGGATCCCGGTAGATAGCCGAATGTGTGCTGTCCGTCTGAACGGATCAGTGAAAAGGAGAAAGGACTGCACTACTCGCCAATGCCTTTTCGTAATCTCCGCCTACGCCCCCACTGACTGCAGTTCGGATGAAACGAAGGATGAGTTCTACCAAAAGCTGTCTAGTTTACTGCGAAAGGCTAGACGCTCAGATATAGTCGTTTTAGCTGGTGACTTTAATGCTCAAGTAGGGAAATTGTGTCAATCTGAGAAGAATGTTGGTGGCACATACGGAATTCCGTGCCAGCGAACCGACAATGGTGACCGTCTCCTACAGTTCTGTTCAGATAATCATTTGTATCTTGTAAGCACTAACTTCAAACACAAGGAGAGACACTGTCTGACCTGGCGACCCCCATCATCAAATCAACGCTGGACACAAATAGACCACATAGCAATAAGCTATCGTTGGCGTGGGTCGGTAGCAGATTGTCGCTCCTTCTGGAACACGTGTGTAGATACCGATCACGCACTGGTCCGCGCTCGTGTGTGCTTACGACTGAACGGACGTAGGAAACAGCTGGCGGTAAACCCATCACGTCCCCAGCTCGACCAGGGGACTAAGTCCCTATTTGAGGAAGAACTAGCTAAACACATAACTGAGTTTGACAGCTGCGCTCACCCTGAAGAAGCCTGGAAGAATATTCAGTCAGCCATAGATACAGCTGTAAAAGCTGTGAATAAGGTAATTCCAAAGGTGAGTAAAAACCACTGGATTTCGACTGCCTCATCCGAACTGATAGATGCTAGAAGACTTATTCCGGCGAGCTCCGAATTCAATGAGGAGCGAAAGCTGCACAAGAGGAAACTTGCGAAAAGTCTCCGCAAGGACCGTGAACAGTGGTGGTTGACAAAGGCGAAAGAGATGGAAAAAGCATCGGCGATAGGCAACACCAGACAACTATTCAGGCTTATCAGGGAAACAGGTGATAAAAAACAAATGATAAGCGAAACAATCTCCGAGAAAAATGGCACCATAATTAGCTCCCAGGATAGACGTCTGGAGCGCTGGAAAGAACACTATGAGGAGCAGTTTAATTGGCCCACAGCCACACTTAACCTACCGGACACCCAACACCTCCCTGAATGGGAGATAGACACAGGTCCTCCGTCCTTAACCGAGGTTACTAAAGCTGTCACCAATCTGAAGCTAGGCAAAGCAGCGGGACCTGATTTATTGACTCCAGAGGTATTTAAGTACGGAGGCGACAGTTTACTGTCTGCGTTAACGGAGGTTCTAGGCAGCGTCTGGGAATCAGAGGAAGTCCCATCGGGTTGGTGTAAGTCACTGATCATCCCGATATACAAGAAGGGGGACAAGTCGTCTTGTGATAATCACAGAGGGATTAGCTTGACTAATATAGTATCTAAAATCCTAGGCTCAATAATACTGCGTAGATTAAGTGGTGCTCGGGAGACACAAACACGAGAAAACCAGGCAGGTTTTAGGCCAGGTAGAGGGTGTATTGATCACATCTTCACCCTTCGACAGATTCTAGAACATAGGCATTCCTACCGGCGTCCGACAATCATTATATTTCTTGACCTAAAGGCGGCATTCGATTCTGTCGACCGGGAGGTTCTCTGGCGATGCTTGGCTGTAAAGGGAATGCCAAGAAAATACATTGCACTGATTAAGACACTCTACTCGTACTCATGCAGCCAGATGAGGGCTTATGGCGAGTTGTCATCTGAAGTGGTGACGACTAGTGGCGTCCGTCAAGGATGCTCATTATCCCCATTCCTATTCAATTTCATCATAGATGTACTAATGGACTTAACCCTAACTCACTTCAGCGACTCAGGGATTGACTTGCTACCAGGGAAGAATCTCGTTGACTTAGAATATGCGGACGATATAGTCCTTCTAGGCGAGGACTCTGACAAAATGCAGAGTCTACTGAACACCCTGAGCAACAATCTCCGCATGTTTGGCATGCGATTCGCCCCTATAAAATGTAAGATGATGCTGCAGGATTGGACTTCATCGACCCCTAGATTAGAAATAGGAAGTGAAGCGGTGGAACACGTTGACCGCTTCACTTACTTGGGAAGTACCATCAGCCCCAACGGGTTGATCTCCGACGAAATTTCAGCACGAATACAGAGGGCTAGGTTCGCATTCGCCAGTTTACGCCGTCTCTGGCGTAGACGCGATATCCGACTATCGACCAAAGGGCGTGTGTACTGCTCAACAGTCCGCTCCGTCCTCCTTTATGGCTGTGAGACATGGCCATTGAGAGCAGAAGACATGAAAAGATTAGCTGTCTTCGATCATAGGTGTCTGCGTTCTATCTCCCGCGTGAAGTGGTATAATAAGGTGAGCAATATTGAGGTTAGGCATCAGTCGAGTGCTAGGTAAGGCGGGGAAATCAATCGACGAGACTGTGAAATTACTTCGACTGAGATGGTTAGGACATGTGCTACGTATGCCTAGTCATCGCCTTCCTCGACGGGCAATGTTAGCTGATATAGGGTCAGGCTGGAAAAGAGCTAGCGGCGGTCAAACCAAAACATGGCACCAATCAATGAAATCCACAACAGTTAATCTAAGCCACGTAGGAAGATGTAGACTTCCTGGTTGGGGCCCTCGGGATGGTAAAAACCAATGGTTGGAAACAATTGGTGACATGGCTCAAAATCGTTCTCAGTGGCGCAGATGCATCCACTCCTTGTGACTTATGATTTCCAATTAAACTTTTGTTCTCCGTTATTACTATTCCTTTGTCTCACACCTCTGTTTACTGTCTATATTATGCATTTCTTCTACTTTCTTCTCTTGCTTTGCGTGCTACATAGATTGTGGCGACTTGAACTGCCGCACATATGTGCAAAGTTCTATGTCGAAAACCGACCGACCGACCGCTAGGATAATCTGCTCACATGACTCTCTCAGTGAGGAGCTTAAGATTATCAGAGAACTACTTAATGAAAATGGTTATCCAGATAAGTTGACTAAAAAAAATATGAATACAGTACCAAAGGAAGCTAGTAGGGATACAGCCAAAGAAAGGACCTTGTTCATAAAACTGCAATTCCTTGGTGATAAAGTCAGCGAAACAGTAACACAGCGGCTGAAGAATGCAGTTAAAAGGGCACTCAATTTAGCAGATCTACGTTGTTTCTTTACAGCCACTTCAACACCATATCGTTGAGTTTTCATATTTAGTAGTTCGAGTATAAATTCTTTTACAATTGCTTCTAGTCGCATTTGATGAGATGTACTGGGAGAGTTCAGAGTCCGAAAAGATAATATTTGCAAATTTCTTGCATGAGTTCAAGTTTCTGTTTACAGCGACTTGGTCTAGCAAAATCAAATTCACTACACCGACAACTTTTAGTGCCTTTCGCAGTGTAGGAAAAAAAAGTCTTTCTCAAGTAATTTCAAGTTTGACCACGGATTTATACCAGTTGGAGAATCATTGGAAAGTATCAAGGAGTACTGGAGGGCCATTTCTTCCTAGTTTTTGGACTTTGCAGCACTACGCAACCACTGGGGTTCGAATCCAGGACTTTCCGGTAATAAGGCAGGCTCGTAGACCATTCATCCACTGGGACCTGACTTAATGGCCTATGAATTCTAGCTTCAACCAATTCACGATTTTAGTGCGACCACTAGCTAATATCACCGGTATTTGTCCTCACTCTCGACCTACTGGTCACTTCTCACTAGAACTTCAGACAACTTCATCATGTAGCCAGCCACTGGCGATCATCATATTGATTTTTCAAGGATTAGTTTGTAGCTTAGGAGAATATGCAGAATACAAGAACTAAAAAACTGTAGAAATACAGGCTGAGTGATACCAGATTGTCTTAACTTTCTTATATAGAAGGTTAGACGAAATCTTTTTACAAATTACCATGATATGGAAAGACTAGGAAAGATCAGACGAAATACATAACCCAAGGTATTTTACATTCTCGACATAGATTCAACTTCAGTGACATCTATCATAGTAGAATCATGAGAACAAACCAGTTTATGTAAGTCGCACTTGTGTCTAAGTGTAATTAACAATCCAACAATTAGAGATAGTTAGCAACTTAAAACTATTTGACAAGGATCACTGACTAAATTCTGGTAAAAAAAAATATTCATTTTGGAACAGTCTAGCTGAAATTTGCCCGACGTGGAAACAGATCATCGGCATACTTAACAAAATTGACTTCATCAGAATGAAGCAATTCATGTAAGAAGAAAGAAAACAGAAAAGGAGACACCGACAACAGTTAATAAAGTAGTTAACATATATCAGGTCGATTAATGGGGCTTTCACTCCAACACCTTGGGTGACACAAACACCACCTATGCCCAGTGCCACAATATCTTAGAATAAGCACTGATGGAACGTGCTTCTAGGTCTTTGAGGTACAGAATACGTTAGGATTTCGAGTTGTTACAGTCAGCTTTCAATATACAATAGCAATGTTATATGTAGGCATAAACTTATGAAAATTCATTTTTAAAAGTGGACATCCTACCAGTCAGTGGTTCAGTGACAGGAAGATTGCCAACCACGCACGTGTTTTCTAGGGCTCCATTCCCAGCTGACACACTTCTAAATCTCGCCTAGTCGGTAGTAAGCCCAACGAAAAAAGGGAAAGTTAGATGTGAGGCTAGTAACCGCAGCCCGTAAAAACACCACCGCTACTGAAACTTCAAAACCCATAGCTTGAAGTCCAACATTTCACTCGGAACGCAAAGAAATGAAAGGAAACCCTGAAAAACACTGTTTGACGTAATCGCTTATAAAATTGCGAGATCATAATCTATTAAATTCAAGACCATAAAGAGACATACTGAAACAAGAGATATTATTGAGAGCTTCCACATACATTATCTAGTTTGTGTTAGTCGATGGTTCATAACAGCCTATACATTACATGCACATACAGTTAATAACTTTGTGAGTTCATAGCATAACCCAATACGACACTTCTTGAAGTCAGAAGTTTCTAGCTCACCTAGCACAATCAGTACCTATGGGAATATAAAACCTGTCTGGGTTAGGCACGACAGACGAGTTCAATCATTACGTGTCAAAAAAGAATAGCAGTCAAGATTTAGGATTTCAAAATACAAAAGAATCGAAACATTACAGAACAAAAATAAATAAACACATTCATAGATACACTTGAAATCAAATCACCTACCAGGAGTACATAGTTTCTCAGGATTTTTTTTGAATGCACCAACAACGTCATCCCAACACTGTGCTATGAAACGAAGTGCAGCATTTTTATTGACTAAATGATGACAGTTTAATATCTGTGAAGTAGAATTAAAACAAAGTGAAAGCATGAAGATTTGTAAACCTGACGAACATTAGCCACCTAAATAGTCCTGGACTATTTATCAATCATCGACACCAAACACGGACAGAGTCGTGTTGCAAAGTCACCTTGGAATTTGTTCAGAAAATATTTCCACGGATATACAGGTGTTTCTGTTGTGATTATGATAACGAACCTCCTGGTTTGACATAAATGAATTAATGAGGACACAAGGAAAATATTATTTCAATTGTACATCATCAAACCTATTCAATTACTCTCGGTTGTTAATCTCGAGCTCAGTAATCCGATTCGGCGTAATCTGCTCATAGCTATCATAGACACTAGTGAAAATTTTACGTTTCCAGCGGAAATCATGATAAAACTACTCAAACGTGATTAGACACCATAGTTACTTTCACACAAATACAGTTAATACCTTCATATTATGAATTAAGGAATACAAATAACCTTACAAGCTGTTAAAAGTAATAAAAAACTGAAAGAACTACTATTTAAGCAGTTCAACTGCTTCAACATGTTCTTATTAATAGGTTCATTCATGTTATCCAAGAAACTTAGTACTCTAATAAACAAGAACCAACGTCCATTCCTATTTCTTATTTAACTTAAAATAAAAATACATGATTGTGAAACCAGTGCAATGAGGTACAATTAGATGCAAATCACTTTTATCCCTATAGGCAGACAACACCAGATGAATGTCTGTCTCTGTTTTCGACATAGAACTTTGCACATATGTGCGGCAGTTCAAGTCGCCACACTTCACTCAGCACACAAAGCAAGAGAAAAGAGTAGGAGAAATGCATAATATAGACAATAAACAGAGGTGTGAGACAAAGGTATAGTAATAACGAAGAACAAAACAGTTTCATTGGAAATCATAAGTCACAAGGAGTGGATGCATCTGCGCCACTGAGAAAGATTTCGAGCCTTATTACTAATTGTCCCCAGCCATTCGTTCTTATCATCCCGAGGACTCCAATCAAGCAGTCTGCATCTCCATACGCGGTTCAAACTAACTGTCAAAGATACCGTGAACTGATTCTAAGTTTTGATAAGACCACCAGTAGCTTTCTTCCAACCTAATCCTATGTCAGATAACATTGACCAAAGAGGAAGGTAATAGCTAGGTATGCGTAATACATGTCCTATCCATCTCAATTGATACAACTTCACAAACCCGTTGATTGATTCCCCGTCCTTACCTAGCACTTCACGCCTAACCCCAATATCACTCACCATATTATACCGCTTAACACAGGAGATAGAGCGCAAACATCTGTGGTCAAAGATAGCTAACCTGTTCATGTCTCCCACATTTAATGGCCATATCTCACAGACATGAAGGGTAGAGCGAAATGCTCAGCGGTACACATGTCCTTTGATCGATAGCTAGCCGAATATCACATCTACGCCTGATGTGATGCAGGTTTGCAAATGATTTGTAAATAAGACCTAATTAGCAGTTGCTTGATCACAAGAGAACTGTTGTGATTTTTCAGTTGCTGGTTTGAAACCTGCTGCCCTGACATAATTCGTCACAAACAAATTAACTGGTCAGATAAGATTACGACAAACAGCTTGAGAAAATCCATGAGGATTATACCTCAGGATGATGATGACAATAATAAAAATCATTGATTGAATTTTGGAAATTACTAAACGACTTACTTTAAGACTTGCACAGACCCAGAATGTATAACATGTATCATCTGGTTTACCAATACGCCCATGAAATCCTTCTTCTTGTAGATTTAGTAACCATTTAATTAGTCTGTCTCGTGATTTCGATCCAGAGGGAATAACCGACTCCAATTTATTGGTAAGTGATAAACTAGCCACTGCGCAATAAGTTGCTCCAGCATGCGCTTCTAAATATGGTAAATTGGCGAATCCACCTTGGTAAGTCTAAAGTGGAATTGTAAATCATAAAAAGCTTATCATACAAAAACTATATATATATATATGTCTGATGATAAGACTTAAAAATACGCATATTAACAGCAGAAAAATCAAGAAATTTGATAACAATGCTGACAGAATTATTCCCTACAGCCTTTGGGTAAGGCATCTTAAAAATAATGAGGTTTCAAATGCAATGATATCTATGATTATCAACACAAAGAAATATATTTCTCAATGTGGTTTCCTAATGAATTCAGAAAGAATACTTCTTGAAATCTAAGGCACACTGAACCACAATGACCACCTACTTACGATTACAAGAAATAGTTATTTACAAAGAAATTTGACCAAAACAACTACATACCAAACATTTCGAAATGAAATTTGCCACATTTTCACAGTTGATTGAATTCAGTCCATTTAGGATATAACAGCTAGCAACAGCCGAAAAGACGAAACGCATATCTCTCTCTGGACAAACATCTCCTGCTTTGAATAAACCCGGTTCATCTGAACACTGCATAGCCGATATACCGCTAAGGATTCCATCTCGATTTACACGAGACAGGTCATCACCAAGTAGTAACAGAGTGGCAAGAGCTGAATATACCATTGTTACATGGCTTCCATCGTATTCCGATCGATTCAACTTTACCTAGAATAAACACAATAAAGTAGATTCAAATAGAGCAGATAATACAGTTAAAAAATGTCAACACTCTAAAATTCCACTAAAGTCAGACACGCTCAAGTTCGTCTTCATTCATTATTTAGAATACAAGCTTGGCACAATATAGACACCAGAACTTAGTAGCTTAAAAAGGTACATCTGGAGTCAGGTTTTAAGTAATAACAACCAGCTAATAAAAACGAAGTTAATGACGCATATAAATATACCAAATACAAGTGAAAGTTCATCATATATATATATATATATAATATGACTACATATACGGTTGATATAGCTATAGGCACGATATTTTGAGAAAGCCTAGATGTGAGTTGAGCTGCTTGCGCGTCGAGACCAAAAATTACACTGTTATCTTAAAGAAGACAGTCAAAAACACTCGACTTAAGTGCTACACAACGCAGTAAATTAACATCGGGGGGTTTCTTTCCATTGCTCACGCTTTTAAAACAGGTTCATACGTCATTTCTCACTTTCAAATCCAAGTCTATATGCACCATAGAGATACAATCGGAGTTTCCTATCTCAGAATGAAATTCTCGAAAACAGTCTATTGGACGGCGTAATAAATCCACTTGTTTACCTTTGTAAGAACATTCCAAACCGTGTGAAGACAGTAAATAAAATTCGCCTATGAGTTTATGAGTTCATGAACACACGCGAGTATTTTGATAAAACGAACCCCATCACCTCTGTTGTTTTTACTATAGGTATTATGGCAGTTGGTCATAAGACAATGACTTCCCACATTCCGTACCACAAATACGTTATGAAATAGAGAACCGATATACGTAAAACACGGAAACAGCACAATTAAAAAACAAAGTCTCACAATACATAAAGTAATTAGACAAGTGGCGATAACTACACACTAACATTGTGAAGTTGCCAGCGGAAATATTGAAGCACGTCACAGTTGCATAATTACCAAAGGAAACACTATGTGATAAAACAAGACCCTACCTTCTCAGGATCTGATGAGCAGCCAATAAGATTCGACCCCCTGAAACCACTTTTCGGGTCATGTGCACCTAAAACAGCAACCATTATTTGTACATTAAAATGTACCTGTGGGTAAAATCTGGTGAGAGTAAATAAATTCTATTATCTCTTGTTTGTCCACATTTTCCAAGGCATCTAGTAACGCTAGACCACCACTCGCGAAAAAAAGAATAACAAGCCTGAAAAATTAGACAGAGGAAAGAGTGTGACAACCTCGACGAGTCAAGTGAAATCATTGCATCCGGAAGGACTCCAGTGCATCTCCTAAAATAGGTTTGCAGCTTCCTTGAAACTAGATTTTCATTTGAGCAAACCATTAAACTATCCTATATCCGTTTCAAAAGTGAGACTGAATTAGGTGGAATCCTTTGACTTTGATTCTTTTTTGGTAGGGAACACCCCGAAAATACTAACGAAATCCCCTGTAGCCACACTCACCAGGATGAGTTTTGTTGAATCGACACCCTTGGCCTTCCATCCTTGTGACGATGCTATTTGTGAAGCATTAAAACAAGAATTTCTCGTCTCTCAGTTACTGGACACGGAAATGAAGAAGTGTCACATGTTATGTCCAGAGAAATTCGAGTACTTCTTCTGCCATGTCCTGAGTATTTCCACAGGTTGATTTTCCTTTACTTTGAATTTTGTCATCGATTTTTCAGGTCGTCAATCCTGTTTTGGGCAGTGTGGCAGACTATGTTTTTATAGCCTTAGTAACCTTCAGATTTTCATAAAGAAAACTGCACTAGCAACATCGGTCACCATCACTCGCCCAAATTGTGCTTAAGGCTGTGGTCGTTATTCCAGGGCAGTGAGAATGTCCCTGCATAGACGTCAGTTATTTGCATGTAAAAGAGACAGTGAGAATGCATTATGCATGACTGTAGATAATATTGACTTCATACTGATTAGATGAAGGGACGTTGACGTTAACGCAAAGCACTTTGTATACAAATTCAAGTTCTAGTCACTCAACTCCCACGGTACTTGCTCCGCCTAAAGCAATGACAAATCAGAAACCAAACTGATCTCTGAGGCAGTGAGGTCCCCTTACGAATTTCGATAAAACAATAAGAATCCAGGTGAAATACCGAAGACAATTTAAAGCGAAATTAGCAATGTAACGGCAGAACACAAAGGCCAGGCAACAGATCGTTTATTGAGAAAATCAATAGGTATTTGCAGATTTTTATGAACATTTTTGTTAGCGGAGAATCAACGTCTTCTGATTGGTGGTTTTCTTGCTGGAGATTATCCTGTTATCTATTGGTGGCCTTTTCTCGGAAAATCAAGCCGAATATCTGCGAATCATATTGCCACACGTTAACTCCCCTGTGATTCACTGCTTATTTTCTCAAGGTTAGATTTTGTTGCTGTTTTTCTCACGAACCTGATTCACGATGTGAACATTTAAGTAAGTTGTTGTCTGCAATTTTGGCTTGCAGCCAGCTCTTACCACAGTAATGGTAACATTTGACGTAATAAAGGAAGAGTATACAAACCGAACAAACAAGATGGAAAGTAGGCAGAGCCGAAATATGACTAGGGACCATACTTCAGCACCACTTCGCCTAGTTAACTAGCTTGCTAGTTTTCTAACCGGTCTCAAGCCTGGGTAAAGAGGGAGAGTCGGGCGTAGGGCTAGCAACCCTACATCACTAAAACTATCAAGTTGCTAGAGAAACTTCAACACACAGAAAATATTTTAAAAATACAAAAAATTCAAATAATAATCTTATTCTTCACTGGAATCGCAGGAGCGGAATAACATGTGCTAGTGAAAGCCTCCGGGAAACCAGTCAGCAAACGGCTGTGTGTTCTCTTGATGAAAGCAAGAATAAGAATGGAGATGTGGCATGTGCATACAATGTATGAAACTGGCTGAGAAAACTGGCCAGTTAGTTAAAGATATACGAAGATATGGCTAAGAAGTACTGAGTACCTGTGAGAGAAGATGGAATGGATATCCAGTGTCAAAATTGTGAACTGCAGAGTAAGTGATCTACTTAGATCTGGTCACCCAGAAGACAACCACGAGCACACTGGGGCAGTGAGTGGATATCATGATGTCAGCGGTTGCGGCCAGAGCCCTAATGCAGTGGGAACTAATTTTTTTCTGCAGGATAATGACAGCAAGATTCAACTCAAAAGGAAGGAAGTAAGGTCAAAATTATTCACTGCCACTCACAGTGCCACAAACAACGCGGAACAAGACAAGAAGGAACAGTTTTACTGACAGCTACAAACAGTAATGGGCAACGTTCAAAATAGTGACATCAAAATCTTTACGGGCGATATGAACGCGAAACTGGGACTTCATAATACTTGAAGAGAACTCCTCATGGGTCGAAAGGCTTTGGCTTGGCCAAATGAATGATGTCTTCATAGTTCAATCTTGTGAAAATATATGTGAATATCCGTGGGTGGACAGATTAACTCATCTTTTTACTTCTTCACATTCTCTCTTGTCTTACCCTCCTGACTACTTCAACTATTACGTCCCTTGCACTACTATTATTATTGATATGTAGCTATATGTGTACATGTAGATGTACAGTACATGTATTGCCTACAAATTTCATCAGCTATGCTTTTACGTTTTTCTTTCTCTTTTTAATTTGCACAACCTACACTAATTATATCTGTTATTATTACCTTCTTTCTTTTCGACAATACCGGATGACCAACGGGTGAAAGTATCAACTCTGCTCACAGCAGCAACACCGGAAAAGCGATATAGGTAGAATTTGATTGGCTGTTGGCTAGCTGGCTTCTTATTGGTCTAAAATATAAGTCAAAGCGGCAATCTTTATTTTGACACGGAAATTTACAGTCAGTTTAATTTAAGGCTTAACTTACCATAATATAATGGCGTGTTAATTTTTTTGGTGTGAGTGTAGTGTGATAGTCACACGCTTTATGGATGCATTGGTGGTGTTTAAAGTACTCTGAGATGTTTTAGAATGTCTAGTAAGTGAATATAAATTAGCAATAATTTTGATGCATTTATTTTAAGTGCAAAATAGGATGTATGCATTTTTGGTTACTATGGGAATAGAATTCAACAAAAATTTCTAAACAAATGTGTCTTTAATTTAGGACATATAGATATATGCATGTATTAACTGATCCACTTTTTTAAGTTTTCAGTTTAGTGACCTGTGGGAATTGCGCATACTAGGTCAACTTAAATAAAGTAAATTTCCTAGGTCACAAAAGTGGTATATAAGCAATGAAATGCATACTATTTTTCATTCGCTTGAAATCATTGTGTTGTGCACGTTAGGAATTGTTAGAACCATTATATGATGTTGCAAAGTACTCCTACTGCGTCTACTTCACGGAATGTGTCATCTATATTGTGTGATGTAACAGCTATATTCAAAAGGATAATGCTTTGCTGTGTATTTTATACATGGATGCAATTTAAGGAAGCTTTAGATGGATTTATGAAGGTACTAACTAAGTTGTTCATTATTTCTTTGAAAGGAATTCGACACATGGTATCGAGTTGATTCAAGTAAAAAAGATCCATCCGGTCCTATGGAATACAAGCATGTGACGTTTAAATGCACTTTTGGAAGTAAACGTGCTCCCCGAGGTGCTGGCTTTAGGAACAGATGGTAAGTTTACTGTCTATGTAAATTTTAAAAATTTCAGGGTTCAAAAGTACTTCATGTCAATCAATTATTATAGTACGGCGCAAATCCAACATATTCAGGATAACAAAGTACCAAACTGTGCATAACCATCCATACACAGCAAGTTTCATGCCCACCGATGTATCTAGACGTCGGTTATCACCACAAGAAATGGCAGTTACACAACCGTTCATTGAAAGGAATACTGATGTCCATGAAGTAATGGATTTAGCGCATGATGAATTTGGCAAAGCCCTCCTGTATAATGATATTAAAAACATGCGGGCTAGGATGTATAAACGTAAGTCGTATCAAAATAAATGGTGCAGTAGAATAGAAATCGGTAGTTTGGAAGACCTGCTTCATCAACTGAGACAGACAGGTGCAGTTAGTGTTCTGCATGACAACGCAGGCTTTGTATCTAAAATTATTTTCGCTCGCAATGATATGATAGACTTGTATCATAAGTTTCCAGAAGTAGTTTGAATTGACTGTACCTATAAAAAGAATTAGATGGGGTAAGTTGCAGAACAAGAAGGGATAAATCCTTCTCCTAATTTATTACAGATGGCCTTTATATCAGTTTGTTGTGACTGATGGATTCGGAAGAGGAAGGACTGTTTTGTTTGCTCTGACTAGGAGAGAAACGTTTGCAGATATCAAGGAGATATTGCAGACATTTGAGAGATTTATGACTGATACATCCGAAACACTAACATTCACTGTCGACTGTGCAACTGCACAGATGAACGCTTTAAAGGAGGAATTCTCTAGGTGCAGTATTGTTTTATGTCTTTTCCATGTATGCCAAGCATTCCGAAGGAAGGTAAGCTGCATTCCCATTAACTACCATAGCGAGAACAGTTCCCAAATCAACATGTTAAAAAGTGGTTGTATCGAATGGCGCACACGCGCAGTTACAACAGGTAGGTTAACAAATCAGAATTTATCGCCAAAGGTTTTGGACTTATCTAAATCTCATCAGTATTATAGACGCTGAGGCTGGTGCTTACATTAGAAGGTACTGGCTAAGAACAAGGAAATATTCGGCTGCATCGTGCAAACGGTTCGCCATCACCATGGGGAACAACACTAACAACAGAGTTGAGAATGCTCACAGGCAGCTGAAAAGATATTTACGTAAAGGCGATCCGCTGGAAGTGACTCTATGGAAAATATGGAAATGGACTGACCACACAACCATGCGTAAAATACATCAGGGCCAGTGGATGCTGTGTAAATACTACAATTACGATGTAAGTTTGAAGATAATTTACGATTTTTCCTAGGTACATACTTCGCTGCAGCCTATATTACGGCGTCTCACACCCTTTGCTGCCAAGAAAGTTTTCTTAGACTTGCAAAGGCGATCCTTCTTCTTTCATTCAATATCTTCCACTTCAGTTAATTGCGCAGAAGGTGGTCACATCTTCTTCATAAACAGGGATGAGGCGAAATACACATGTTGGACATACTGTGCATACAGTTTGCCATGTGCTCATGTCGTTGACGCTTTCTTAAATTCATATCTAACCTGTGGTAAGTTCCATTTCCTTAATTGTTACTCTTAGATATTCTGAGAAATAGTGACAGGTGGACACGTCAGTATAACACGACGGACAACATCCCACGCGTCATCCACCTAACACCGGAACCGAACAACGCGTTCAAAAATGCTTATGAACGTTTAAGACGTCGTCTCAACATTTTGAACCAAAGAAATCCGGATGCTGCACTGCGGGAAGTAGCAGAGTTCACCAGAAGGTTGGACAGTTTGCTAGCAAATGAACCGCAAACAACTTTGCGATTACGACGTGTCCCTTTTAATCGATCATTTTTGTGAAAATATTTGCATTACCTTATTGTTTCAATTTGTATTCATAATATAAACATGTATGTCTAAACTGTGTTACACTTCCTTTCCCTTCAAATGCCTGAGAGCGACAGCTTAAAGCATACTTTGGTTGATTGTTTCGTGATGAGAGCGCTTTGCAAGTCAGTTATAAATTACACTGATCGGTGCCTCATGTAATGCGTTTTATCAGCCGAAGATTTCTAGTTCATAGCGTATTTTCCTGTTGTGTTGCACTCACTGACAATCTAGCAGATTTTTCCAACTTTGCACAGAAATGATTGTTTATAAGTGAAAAGGCTGTTTTATACTACTGGGATTAACCTTTATCAAGTGTATGTATAATCTCCAGCGAACATGTAAAGCATATCTTGCTACTGCCTGTAAATTGTGATTGAATTATATGGTTCTATTTCTGTAACAATTTGATGATGCCTGTAAATTGGCATCCCTCATGTACTGTACTATGAAAATAAATCTATTTATTTTTTTATTTATATCCTGAGTAACAGCGACTAATACGATTTATTGCCTATATATAGGCAATCACCCCAGGCTTACAACAATTCTAAACTTATTCTAACCTATTCTTCGATGATGCTTAATAAGAAGAACAAGGTGATGAATTACAATCGGTCATGCGGATAAACCATCCACAGTTCTGGTTCAGTCACATAATCAAACAATGGCAAAACAGTTATTATTATTATTGTTCCCTTAGGTTCCTAGTGGAACATAGGGCTTCAACTGCACGTCTCCACTTGCTTCTGTCTTGTGCTGTACTTTTCACTTGCGTCCATGTTATTCCATACTGTTTCATCTCCTCACACGATCTCCTCCATGTCACCCTTGCACCGACGTCCAACTCGCTGCTTCCCTTTCGGGTTTCACTCGAGCTATGGCCTGACGCGCGATGTCACTCAACGGCCTCCTCAGTGAGTGTCCAATCCATCTCCACTTCCTCCTGCATATTTGTTGGGCGATTGGTTCCTGTTTCGTTTGTTCCCATAGCTTCTTGTTTGTGATTCTTTCCGGCCATCTAATCTTCAGTATGGAGCGAAGACAGTTGTTGATAAAGGTCTGCAACCTGTTGAAAATATTCTTGGTGACCCGCCAAGTTTCTGATCCGTAAAGCAAAATTGACTTCACGTTTGTATTGAAAATCCGAATTTTGTTGTTGTTGATGCTGAGTGACGAAGATTTCCAGATTGGTTTCAGGTTGATGAATGTGTTTCTCGCCTTCCCGATTCTCGATTTGACATCCTCGTCCGTTCCTCCTGTGGTTGAGACAATGCTCCCTAGATCAGTGAAGTAAAAGAAGTAACCTCTTTCAAATCCCTCCCGTTGATGGTGATTGGCGCTGGATGTTGCTGCTGTTGTTGTTGGTTGGTTGGTTATTTTCATGACCTCCGTCTTGTCTATGTTCACCTGGAGTCCTGTCTTTGCTGCTTCTTCGACCAGTTTGTCGGTTTTTGCTTGTAAGTCTTCGATTTTGTGTGACATCAAACATAAATCATCCGCAAAATCCAGGTCTTCTAGGTTCTTCACGTTGGTCCAGGATATCCCTGTCTTCTCGTTTCCCACTGTCTGACGCATAATCCAGTCCACCACAATTAGGAATATCATTGGTGATAATAAGCACCCTTGTCTGACTCCTGTGTTTACTCCAAACGCTTCGCTGAGCTTTCCGTTGTGGATCACTTGACATGTGCAGTTGTCGTACAGTTGTTGAATAAGGTTGATGAATATTTGGGGTACGCCGTAGTACTTGAGTAGTTTCCAAATTACTTCGCGGTCAACGCTGTCGAAGGCCTTCTCAAAGTCTATGAAGTTGAGATAGAGATTTGATTGCCATTCTATGCTTTGTTCGATGATAATGCGTAGAGTTGCAATTTGGTCAGAACATGATTTGCCTTTCCTGAATCCAGCTTGTTCTGGTCGGAGTTCTGTATCCAGTGCGTCCTTGATTCTCTCCAGGATGATGCGACTCAGGATTTTACTTGGCGTCGACAGGAGCATGATTCCTCGCCAGTTCTTGCAGAGTCCCAGGTCGCCCTTCTTTGGTAGTTTGACGAGGTAACCTTTCCTCCAGTCAGTAGGCACCTTTCCCTCTTTCCAGATCTTTTGCAATAATGGAGTCAGCATATCTGCCGTCGTTTCTGGATCCGCTTTCAGTGCTTCCGGGGATATTCCATCTGGTCCAGCTGCTTTTCCAGCTTTCAGAAGCTTGATTGCATTCATGACTTCAGTTTTCGTTGGAGGATTGGTATCAACTTGCAGTTGTGTACGTGCTGTTGTTGGTATTACTGGACGGGTTGTAGGTGGTGGTCGATTCAAGAGTCCTTTGAAGTGGTCCACCCATTGTTTAATCTGTCTTTCTTCTTTGGTAATTGGCTTCCCTTGGCTGTCTTTTATAGGTTTCACTTGTGTTGATCTCTTCCCGGATAGAGACTTGGTTATCTGATATAGTGTCCTCAGGTCCCTTTTGCCTGCTGCCTTCTCAGCTTCAGTAGCCAGGTTGTCGTAGAATTGTCTTTTGTCCTTCCTGGCACTCTTCTTCACTTCTTTGTCCAGTGCTGTGTAAGTTGAGTTCAGCGTCTCTTTCTCTTGTCCATCTTTGCATTGAATCATTTTTTCTTTCACCATTCTCCTCTCCTCTATTAGTTTCCAAGTGTCTGTTGAGAGCCATTCTTTGTCTTGTTTCTTCTTTCTTCCTAAAACCGTTGAGCACGTTTCGTTGAAAATTACCTTCAGAGAGTTCCAATGGTCTTCCACGGATGATTCCTCAGTGGTGCCACGTAGTGTTTCCTGCTTTGCTCTGACAGTTACAGTGAAAGTGTCCTTTGTGGTTGTGTCTTTCAGTTTTTGCGTGTTGAACTTGCATTGTGGCCTATCCCCAGGTATCCTCGAGGCTTTCAGCTTCACCTTGAGAGTCCCTTGTACTAGATAGTGGTCTGAACCCACATCTGCTCCTCTCCTCGATCTTGTGTCCAGTGGGCTCCGTCTCCATTTCCTTGAGATTGAAATGAAGTCTATCTGGTTTTCGGTGTGTCCATCTGGTGAAATCCATGTTGCCTTGTGTATATCCCTGTGTTTGAACACACTGCCACCAATCACCAAATCATTGAAGGCGCAGAAGTCTGAGAAGAGTTCGCCATTTTCGTTCATTTCACCGAGGGCCTCACGACCCATGGTGAGTTCTCTTCCTGTATTGTCTCCTCCCAGTTTCGCATACATATCGCCCATCAGGATTTTGATATCGCTCTTTGGCACGTTGTCCATTACTGTTTGTAGTTGACTGTAGAAATCCTCCTTCTTCTCATGTTCTGAGGCGTTTGTAGGCGCGTAGCACTGAATGATTGTAACCTTCCTTCCTTTTGAGTTGAACCTGGCTGTCATTATCCTGGAGGAGATTGGTTCCCACTGCATGAGAGCTTTAGCCGCTGTTGGTGACATCATGATGGCTACTCCCTCGGTGTGCTCGTGATCGTCCTCTGGGTGACCGGAGTAGATTATTGTCTCTCCAGTTGATAGTTGGCTCCTTCCACATCCGTTCCATCTGCTCTCGCAGATTCCCAACACTTCTATTTTATATCTCCTCATTTCTGCGGCTACCTGAGCAGCCTTCCCAGCTTCGTACATTGTACGAACATTCCACGTCCCCATCCTTATTTTCGCTTTCATCGAAAGAAGGCACATCGGCTGACTGGCTTCCCGAAGGCTTTCACCAGCCCGCGTCATTTCACTTCCCCGATTCCAGCGAAAAATAAGGTCACTATTTGTAATTTTAGAATTTTGAGTATATTTGTGCGTTGAAGTTTTAGTAGCAATTTGGTTAAGTTTTGGGGGTGGAGTTGCTAGCACCACGCCCCAACCCTCCCTCTTTATCCGGGCTTGGGACCGGCTAGAATACTAGTGACCTAGTAATCTAGGCTAGGTTGGCAAAACAGTTAGTGAGTTCATTTCTTAAATAGTGTTACTATACTAGCGTAGTGTACGTGAATTAGCTCAATGATTGCAGGTTTTACCATAATCCCTAACTACCAACATAATAAGCGGGAACTTCTGGCTAAAAATAACCTTAATAGTAGCATCCAGTGACAAAACTGACCTACACACTGCAAAATGAGCGAAACATCCAAAAAAAAACTTTAAAATTCAATGGAAAACGAATTCACGAAAACATATAACCGGCAGACTTAGGAACCCATCACGATCTTGAAACTGACTATAGCGTCTTTCCCAACACCGTGTTAACACAACACTACAATCTACACATAATTAATCCAAGCACCACTCCTTTTGAAGCCCACCGAAGTTATGACAGTCGAGTGGCGAGATGAGTTACGTAGATTACCAAACACCAGGAACTTTTAACTCACAAGCAAGTAGTGAGCACAAGGAAATCACTAACCCTTAGAAGATGATATTGGATATTGTATGTAATTTCGCGTGATTTCAAACTTTGGTCGCAACATGTTGTGTACTTAAGGTTTGTAGACATCCTGGTGATTTTGGATAGATTCTATAATTTATCAGTCATTCTGTCTCACTTAACGCAGAATGCATGCATTCTGATTATTAGGATGCATTGCAGAATGTTCGGGGCTGGCATAGGGACCTTGTCCAACGTTAGGCTGTGCGCCCGAAGAAAGTGACAGCTGGGTGGCTACAGATATTAATACGCATGCATAATAATAAAACATATAGTTGCATATTTCAACTGTTATTTGGTGTTTTATGGTATTTTATTTTTGCCAGTGATCTAAACACTAGACTGCCACTTGAGTCTTACACTATCAGCAATTTATCCGGATCAGCTCAGTTTAAGAAGTCTTATTGGCTCATACCGGTTGCTCTGATCGGCAAAGTTAAACTTTAAGCATCAACAACTGCCAATCAGAGAATCACCTATAACGCACGAATCCCCTGAAGGAGGCATTTTGTGTATGGAATACATATATTGCACAAAAAGAAATGTTACAGAGGATACCTTCCTCTCACATGTGATAATAATAGCTCGCAGTTTTAGGTTGGAGTATCAACAGAGGATAATCCCTTTTTGGGTAAAATTTATTTTGATAGAGCCTCATAATGTTATGCAGTAATATTTACTTAGCAATAAATGGTACTCGAAACGTCATCAGTAAATATTACTGTATAACACCCTGAGACTTGACCAAAATAAATTTTACTCACAATGGAATTATACTCTGCCACAGTGCACAAGTTCTGTTCTTATATCAACAGAGTTATTTCATCACATTCTATGCATGCAATTATTTAAGTCCTCCAACCCTAACAATAACCCTAATCTTTCCTGAACCTAACCCTTACGTGAAAATATCCCTAAACTAACTGCAATGTAACTCGAATCAAACCAACTGCCGCCTTCGTTAGATTAACCTTACCTTGACTTGTCCTTGGCTTGAAGGGTAACTTAATCTTTCCCAAACCTAATCTGAAACTTGCCAGATATCCCATTTAATAACATAACTCTCCGATAAGCATATTTTCTTGATGATGACAACATTATTTGATAAGTTTAACTTGCTCAGTGAGCGTTTCAAAGTCATTGGTACGGTCGCACTCCATTGGAAGCGAGTGGTGCTTAAAGTTTAACTTCGCCCTCTGATCGACGAGATCTTCTGGTTACTGACCACGCTGATGCAGTTTTGGTGAAAATTACTCACGTAGGTATAGTTACATCAAGCCATCTAGGCCCAAATGAGATTATTATCACTAAATTGCGCTTAAAACGCCATCGAGTTATTATTTTATTATATCAAATGGATCTACCAAATGTGAAATTCTACTCTTACATATAGTCCCAAGTAAGACAAAGTATTTGAAAACTATATGAAATGACGTGTAGGTAACATTTGGACAGGTTGTAGACAATTGATGTGTGGTATCACCAAGAAGCTTGTGCTACACATACCAACTGGTATTTCTGGGCTGTTTGAGGTGTGGCGAATTGATGCATAGGTAATACATTTTCGTTTGTGTAAAGGCTAGAGCTGCGCTCTCAAACAAAAGGCCGAGCGATTCTGGGGACATCACTCGTACCGAATTCCCATGAATCTTCATGAACTCTCTTCATCAGATCGCCGCGCCTGGGCAGCGATGATTCGAGATGTTCATGAAGCCGGCTCATCCTCCCGTAGGAGATAGCCGAAGTAAAGAAAGAAGAAGTTTAAGTTCAGTGAATCATTGTATTTTTCGTTGATAACGGTCCAGATCGACAGTTTTATTGGATGTGCTTTTGGTGACTTTATTTTTGGTGCATTTCTCTAAGATTAACTTAGCTTGTTCACTTTTTCCACTGTGATAACTTGTTAAATTATTAATTACCTGATATTCATCCATCTCCAAGGCAAGAAATTAAATGATTAAACCAATTATCATCAGCATTTACATGAGTGAACATTGAAGCGTTTAGGTGATTTCATAATTGGCTTGCATAACGTAGAAGTTCTTTTAGAAATTCAGAATTTTTAAATAACGAACTTTGTTTAATTTCTTGTAAGCTTCAAATTTCTTTTAAAATGCGGAAATTAGGTAAAATTTCAAATATGTTGAATAAGTTCTATGGGTCCTATTAACATATAACCTTATGTTTTGTATCTTTACAGCATTGTCTTACGAACCATCACTGGTTTTGTATGTGTACATCTATCATATTAATTGACATTCAGTCGGTATCTTGCAACGGTGCATGGAATGCTGAAAAATCTCCTTAGGATCAGACCTATAGGGTGTGCTCAGTTTTTTCACACATCCTGTTATATTCGGAACTCATCTGAAAAGCAATCCACGAAATCCTCCAATTTAATTAAATCATATTTCGAACTTGGTCGTTTCGGTAAACCGACAGGTACTTGGCTTCTTTATCTTCCCTGCACATGGAGCATCGCAGTGGCTGCACCACCTGGACAACTACCGGACTTTTACATGTTAGCCCTATTTGGTGTGGGCTCCATCTTGATGCGAAGCGCCGGATGCACTATAAATGACATGTGGGATCAGAAGTATGATAAGCTTGTTAAACGCACAAAAGACCGTCCTTTGGCTTCGGGTTCCCTTACATACTTCCAAGCTCTTTCATTTCTTGGTTTGCAGCTATCAGCTTCACTTGTGATCTTGTTGCAATTGAACTGGTACAGGTTGGTTTTGCTATTGCTACAACTTATTTCCTCAAGTGTATTTCTTGGTTTTCTGTCTATGGTTCCTGTTACCACGTATCCCCTGTTCAAACGATTCACTTATTGGCCGCAAGTTGTTCTTGGTAAGAATCATTAGAATACTTTATGACCTCTATGTGGCGTGATGTTATAGGTTTAACGTTGAACTGGGGTGTTTGGCTTGGCTATTCCGCCATAAATGGTTTTTGTCTTTTCTCCGTGTGCGCTCCTTTATATTTAGCTGCAGTGTGTTGGACTTGCACGTACGATACTATATATTCTCATCAAGTGAGGATAATTTGTTAGCTATTTTCTTTTTTTGCTCCTGTCGCTCTGGCATTTTAAAATTTTTCCCGAGAGTTACGTAGATTTCTTGTATTGCTTGATATATTTATTTTATTTGCTAGCCTAGCATTGCCCAGAAAACCCGTAGCACCTTTTCATTGTATGTTTTTAAAGTTAAAGACTAGGTTTATTTGTTCTGTATAGGTCTTACATTCAACTGGGGTGCTTTGCTGGGCTATTCTGCCGTCGTGGGTTACATTAACCCTTATGTCACATTTCCTCTGTATCTTGCTGGCCTCAATTGGACGATGATTTACGACACAATATATGCACATCAGGTTTGTGCGCGTAGTTCATTGTTGAAGTTTTCATTTTTTTTTGATGTTCGATTTGTAATCGAAATTTTCCTTCTAGGATATTGATGATGACATACGTATAGGTGTCAAATCAACTGCCATTCTATTTGGAGAAAACACTAAACCATATCTGGTCCTTTTTCACACGGGAATGACAGCGTGTCTTCTCACTGTTGGAATGAATGCTGATGCTGGTTGTATTTATTACCTTGGGACTCTAGGCACTATGTTGCATATAGCTTATTTGGTAAGTTAATGCTTGATATCCGCAAATATATATATATATATAACATTTTACCAAAGCTCACTGGTTTAGGCTACGAGGGTCCGTAATAATTATTTGTTATATTATTATTCCCTTGGGCTGTGAGTGGAATATAGGGCTTCAATAGTACATCTCTATTTTATTCTGTTCTCTGTAATCCTTTATAGCTGGCTGCACTAATGCCTGTAAGCTTAGGATGGACAGAGGTCAAAGTCGCCCTTCTCTGGTAGTTTGACGATGTAGCCTTTATTCCAATAAGTAGTTACCTTCCCTTCCTTCCAGACATTTTACAACAGTGGCGTGATGATGACATTCATTTTGATCTCGAGATCTGTTTACAGGGCTTCAGGAGGAAGTCTGTTCGGTTCTTCTGCCTCCCCGACTGACATTCAGTGGCTTTATTGAATTCAAGACTTCTCCTTTTATTGAAGGATTGATGTCCACTGACAGTTCTATGTGTGTTGGTCGTATTTCTGGACGAGTTGTAGGTGATAATAGTTTCAGGAGTCTCTTGAAAGGATCAGCCCATTGTTTTTTTTGTTTCTCCTCTTTAGTAATTAAGTTCCCTTGACTATCTTTCATTCCTTTCGTCTGTGTTGATCTCTTCCCGGATAGAGAACTGGTTATGTGATATAATGTTCTAAGTTCTCAATCGAAGAGGCTATAAAGTTACATAGATTGAGATGGCTGGGTCACGTGCTGCGCATTCCTAACCACCGCCTCCCCCGACGGGCATTACTAGCTGATATAGGTGCAGGTTGGAAAAGAGTAAGTGGTGCCATGCCAAACAAAAACATGGCCTCATCAATCCATGAAATCCTTGACAGTTAAACTGAGTCAGGTAGGGAGATGCAGACTTCTGGGTTGGGGCCAGCCCTCGGGACTCTAAGAATCAATGGCTCGAGACACTAGGTGACATGGCTCAAAATCGTTGTCAATGGCTTACGCAGATGTATTCAGTCTCTGTAATCTTTCATATTCCTTTCTACCATTACTCATTCTGTTTCACTCTTATACTTGTCAAAACTCTATTGATTCTCTCCACTCATTTTCTTGTCTACCTTTGTGTGCTCTTTGGAACGTGGCAACTCGAACTGCTGCACTTCGGTGCCAAGTTCTATGTTGAATCCAGACCAGAAGTTCTCTTTTACGTGCTGACTGTTCTGCTTCAGTTGCTAATCCGTAATAATATAGGACGAAAATTTATATACATGAAAAAGCGATTTTCTGAAGTTTCCCAGCTCAACTGATGTCACAAGTGTGAGTAAACAGTAACTTGGGGTGTGCAACGTATGTCTTCACCAGTTTTGTGGGTAAAGTTTTATAATTTAATTGGTGGATGGTGACTAGCAATGGAATCCACCAATTAAATGCAAATTAAATGCCCAGACATCGTCTAAGCATCTGCTCAAGAAGCCGACATGTCGACCTGAGACCGAGCACTTCGGTCCAATCAGTTGACGGGAAAATCTAAAATTCAATTAAATCAATATGACCCGTTGCACAAGAGGTGGCTCTCGTGGCCCAAGTGGTCTAGTGGATAACGCTTTGGCATTTAAAACTATGGGCACTGGGTTCGAGTCTCAGTGGGAACATCATCACTCACTGAGAAATGCAGGTACATCCAACTGACGAGTCCCAAATAGGACGAAATGCACATCCTGGATTCCACTGCTAGTCAACATCCACCGATTTAATACAAATTAAATGTCCAGATATCGTCGAAGCATCTGCACAAGAAGCCGACATGTCAACCTGAGACCGAGCACTTCGGTCCAATCAATCGACGGGAAAATTTAAAATTCAATTAAAAGTTTTATGATGTGCGATCTTATCGTTAAACTTTTCTTTAACCTTGAAAAATTATTCATTCGTTTAAAACAAAGGAATGTAGTAGGCCATATCTGTGCACACCAAGGAAGTTTATTTTGCTTGTGTTTGAGATAATTCTTGCCATAAAATTGGTTTTTAATGTGTCTGAGAGATGAAATATGTTAGATAACTGTACGTAAAACTTCAGAAATTCTGTTGTAATGCTTCTAAAACTTTCAATGGTTATTTATCCTTTTTTTAAATATCGGAATCAAAAGCAACGAACTTCATTCCGTATATAGTTTGAGTATTTTGTTCCGAACTCTTCATAATAGAGCTTGAAGTTGATTCGCTTTCGACAGGATTACTTCAATAAGTCTTAGCTTCTTTGATCAATAGTTGGCAGGTATTGTTCAGTGGAAAAATCTTCATAGCAAATAAATCATTAGTCATCTTAGAAACTACAGTTAACTTTCTAAGGGAATGTTTATATATGCGCTGGCGTCTGTCAAGAATTCCTGTTGTTCCATTTTCTTTAACTTCATTATAAATTTGCTTATAGCTTAAGAGGATTCTCGTAGATGCATGTGACTCCTTCTTTCACTCTAATTCCCTATATTCCACAATGGTACAAAAAGTTGAACAGAAATTGACATCGAAATAGACAAAATCTGGGAGAGGGGTTGGGAGTGTATAAAACATAATTCGATAAAGAATAGTGTTCACAACTTTTCAGATAAACAGAATTGTTTTCTAAAGTCTGTAGTTAGCATAAAGTATAAAATAAAGCATTGGATTATATGAAACAGTTAATTCGCATTATGAATTTCGACAAAACATAACACAAGAAGAGGTGGTTTACGTCGAACAGGATGATTACTCAGCGGCAATCTGACCGCTGCTGTGTAAAAACAACTTTACGAAACCTTCTTCCTGTTTGATTGGTTGTGCTGTCATAGAGCACATGAAATCCAGTTTATTGTTTGGTTAATGGTGAAATCCTGCTGGAAAATGAGCTTTTTGTTGGAAATATTTGATTTGTAATTACCGTTTATAACTGTCCTAGTTAAAGCCAAGAACTCTGTGAAACTAATATCAGGTACTGCTAGTAGTTATCTTTCGCTTTTGTGGTCTCATCCCTCACTCTGGTTGGCACTCACTTTATTATTAATAAAACAGATTCGGTACGTTAGGAGGTCAGTAGGTGTGTGTAAGAGCTGGGTTACTGTCCGGGGTCATCTCCCGAGCCTTTGACTTTGGGTCTGATCCGCAAGGCAGTAAGTGGAGCAGCCACCCCCTTGGTTGACGGTGACCAACACAGGTTGGTACTCTATTCGATCCATTCAGATTGTGTAGCGCATGTACACCATAAGTTTACAATCAGGATTTTCTAGCTCCCCTAGGTAGACCATCATGTCCACTAGTTTGACTGTAAGCACCAGGTATTCGTGTTCGCCCTTTCGCTTTTGTGAGGAGCCCCTGCACCCTCGGAATGAAGGCAGTAAATAGGGCTTACACCTGGCATAGGCAATAAATGCGTGGTCACATGACATTTCGTGAGGAAGAAGGAAGCCACCTCATCCTTCAGATGTACCAGGTTGTTCATAGGAGCCACCTACTTTTCTTGGGTATGATTGTTCTTCACTGGTCAAGTACATTGTCTGTCTGTATTCGACATAGAACTTTGCACCGATGTGCGGCAGTTCAAGTCGCGCCACACTCCATGTAGCACACAAAGCAAGAGAAGAAAGAAGAAATGCATAATGTAGACAGTAAACAGAGGTGAGAGACAAAGGAATAGTAGCAACGAAGAACAAAACAGTTTCATTGGAAATCACAAGGAGTGGATGCATCTGCACCATTGAGAACGATTTTGAGCCATGTCACCGATTGTTTCCAACCATTGGTTTTTACCGTCCCGAGGACCCCAACCAGGAAGTCTACACCTGCCTACGTGGCTGGCTTAGACTAACTGTTGTAGATTTCATTGACAGGTGCCATGTTTTCGTTTGACCACCGCTAGCTCTTTTCGAGCCTGACCCTATGTCAGCTAACATTGCCCACTGCCGAAGAAGGCATACACAACACATGTCCTAACCATCTCAATCGATGTAACTTCACAGCCTCGTCATCGATTTATTTCCCCTCCTTACCTAGTCTTCGATGCCTAACCCCAATATTGCTCACCTTATTATACCACTTCACACGAGAGATAGAACGCAGACACCTATAATCAAAGACAGCTAACCTTTTTATGTCTTCCACTCTCAATGGCCAGGTCTCACAGCCATAAAGGAGGACGGAGCGGACTGTTGAGCAGTACACACACCCTTTGGTTGATAGCCAGTCGGATATCACATCTACGCCAGAGACGGCGTAAACTGGCATATGCGAAACTAGCCCTCTGTATTCGTGTTGAGATTTCGTCAGCGATCAACGCATTGGCGTTGGCTGATGCAGCTTCCCAAATAAGTGAAGCGGTCAACACGCTCCACTAACCACTTCACTCCCTATTTCTAAACTAGGACTCAGTGTAGTCCAGTCCTGTAACATCATCTTACATTTGGCGAGAGCGAATCGCATGCCAAACATTCATAGATTGCAGCTCAAGGTGTTCAGAGGACTCTGCATTTTGTCAGCGTCCTTGCCTATATCGTCTGCATATTGTAAGTCAACGAGATTATTCTCTGGTAGCAAGTCAATCCCTGAGTCTCTGAAGGGAGTTAAGGTTAAGTCCATTGAACCAATAGATCACAAATTAGATACTGACTCCATACACTGAGGTTTGAGCCTAAATGTTGTATAACAACAGATCCTTCAGGGTTTGGTATGTGTTTAGTACTCATATTATCGGGTTGTATGTGATTAAGTTGTAACTGATTCTTCACTGTAATTTAGTTATCGTTTTTCGATGTATTTATTATCTTGTCTATACACACAATAAATTAAATCCCTTGCCAATGGGATCTGATGCATCTGTACTCCTATCACCCTAGAAGCAGAACTAGATTTTCTGAAATAAACCTTAATCCAGCATGGTTACCCACGAAGATGTATTGACAAGAATATCGAACCAAAAGTTCAGCGGAATGAAACAATACTTGTTCCAAAAGAGAAATTTTACTCGAACCTGGATTTCAAGGGGTACTTTACCTGCGATATCCAGCATCTTTCAGAAGACTACTCTCCTCAGCAACGCCAAGAGTAGTGTTCTTCAGTCGTCCATTGTTCTTCAGAAGCCTTAAGAACAATATGTCGCATCTGATGACTTCTATGTGCATATGTCAGTTAACCTGTTAGTGTGGCGCCAGGTAAATTGGTTGTTCGACGCGTATCCTCTCTAAAAGGATTACTTACTTACTTTACTTCGGCTATCTCCTACGGGAGGATGAGCCGGCCTCATGAACATCTCGAATAAGAGAGTTCATGAAGTTTCATGGGAATTTGGTACGAGTGATGTCCCCAGAATCGCTCGGCCTTTTGTTTGAGAGTGCAGCTCTAGCCTTTACACAACCAAGTGTGACCTACAAGGCAGTAGGAGTGGAGTAGGGAGTCCACTATCCATTGGCAGCCGGTGACCGGAGTTCGGTTCATACGCCTTTTTGAATGGGGCCAGACATACAGGACATCCAACAAGCCCTTTGTCCATACGTCTGCCGGTGAGCTCCAGTGAGCTTCATACGCCAGTCGTTGGAGGTTTGGAATCAGGGTTTAGCCATCTCCCCTAGACTGTCATCCAATGGACAGTCAACCCGGTGAAGAGCGCCGGGCATTCGCTTTCGCCCTCTCACTTTGGTGAAAAACACCTCCGCCACGTGAAGGCAGTGAGTAGGACTTCCTCAGGAGAGGCTACGTAAGACGCCCGGTCATATGGGAGCATTTCAAGAGGTGTGCGGAAGGGTGGCCAACCCGCAGCGCAAGGCACCCACCCCCGAACATCCTGAGGCTTTGGAGGATTGATGAAAACTATCCTCCATAGCTAAAGAAAGGCAGTAGTGGCTCGATAAGGAGTGCGGTAATCGTACACCTTGCCAACACTGGTCATTCTGTTTCAACAAATGCCTCCTTCAAAGTACTGTACAAAGTGAAGAATAACTTTCCAAAGGCAATACACTTTCATCTCCTTTGCATTGTTCAAGCCTTAGCCATTCAGTTAGAGATACCAGCGTTACTCATACAAAAGAAAATTATTCAACCACTTCTACTAACATGGGTAGCAACCTTGTTGATTTCTACCGACTTCAGTTTTGTTTGCTTGTTTTTCTAACTTCTTATATTTTTTGCATTTCTTTAGAACTCTTACATAATTCCATTTTCTCTCTCGTTTCTATGTGCATCCTGATTACAACTCATTCGTTAAACTGCCCATCTTATGATGTAATACTGATACATTTATTCAGCTCATTTCATACATTGACTTAATATTAACAACCATGTTTGTAAGAACTCGTCACTTTTGTCACTACCCTGTCGCATGAAAACTTGCACATAAAGGAGATTGTACAGCTAAAGAGGTGCGTCAGTGACACAGCGGTTCAGACGCTCTCTGACCATGCACATGGTCCGGGTTTCGATCCGCGGCAGACGCACTCCTTTAACTCTCTAAGCTAGTAATAAGACTGGTAGAGAGGGAACGTTGGGCACGAGGCTAGCAACCCCATCCTGTAAAAATGAACACTGCTACAGAAACTTGAAGTCTCCAGCTTGAAGCCCTATGTCCCACTGGGAACGTGAAGGAATAATAAAAAAAAACAGCTAAAGAGGGGAATGAATTCACCGAAAAGAGCCTCTTCACTGAACAACGTGTTTTGTTCTCGTTAATGTCTAAATGAGGATTACTCATCAGAATTAAACAAAGACACTCAGAATACTCTTAGAGTATTCTGTTTACTCAGTTACAAGTCCTGTTATCCATTGTTGCTTCTTAAAGTGTTTGTTTTGTTGACTAGCATATCTGAATAGGATATTTTTATTTTTTCTTTCTTATGCAGTCATCATTTTATTTATTTTTAGATACGAAAAGCAGATTTGAAGAATCCTACTTGTTGTTGGCAGACGTTTAAAGCCAGTAGAACATCTGGTCTTTTGTACTTTCTTACTATTGTACTCGATAAGATATGCGCCTAACTTTATCCTATACATGATGTATTGAGATTAATTAAAAATAAACAATTTTGTAAATATGTAACTAAATGAATTGAACTTGTCTTATTTTCTAAGTCTTCGTAAATAATGCCTAAATAAGTACAATTATAGTCTAGTGACATGCAAGCAAAGTAGTTGGGGTGGCGGGGGGTAGAGAAGGCAATTGTGCATCGATAGTTCATTAGTGATAGAACACTCTCCAACTACGATTCGGGGTTCGATTGCCGGCCGACAAACTCGTTAACCTTGTGTACCCGATAGTTAAATCGATGGAGAGGGAAGCTTTGGGCGTGGGACTATAGCAGTTCTACTCTGTGAGAATAAACACCACTGCTACGAAAACGTCAAAACTCAAGCTGGGAACGCAAAGCAATAGAAAAAGAAATCAGTTGTGATATCAGCTACTCTGTATGGCTGCAAAATAAAATCACCGATCATGACACTTAATTACACAAAGGCTATTTGAGGTATTTTCACTGTGTTGCCAATTAAAAGACTCTTTAAACTGACTGATTGACTGAGTTTCAACAGAAGTGCAGCAGTTCAAATTGCCAAACTCCATGTGACACACAAAGGTAGAGAAAAAGGAGATTTAAGAGAACTAGTAGAAATGTTAAGCAGAGAGAGTAGTAACAAAACAATTCACTGCATTTAGGGGATGACAAAGACTAAATTCATTGGAGTTGTTTAGAAGGGTTTTAAACCATACCACCAGCTTGGTTCAGCAAGGGGGAAATTAAGTGCATAAAAAGCTCGATTCTGTCACACTCTGTCGATACTGGACATGGCACCGACGTGAGCACAACTTTCAAGGTTATATACCGTATTCAGAAGTCGTTATCACGTTCAATTTGCTTACGTGTGCTACACATAGCTGCAGCTGTTGCAATAAGATCGACCAAACCGGAACTTTGTATCCAAAAAGAACACGTCCAGACGCTGTTCCTACCGTGGCCAAACTTGGATTAATGATTCTTCTCACCAAGAGTGCTTCTTCCCCTTAACCCTCTTGGTTTTTTTCTTTCTTTGCTTATTATTACAATTATTATTATTCGTCATAATTTATACCCTTCATGCAAACATTCTCTCAATACTATCTAATTTTCCATTTACACTATCCGGACTGATTATTAGTGATATTATCTCTTTTCTCAATATATATGCCTTCGTCTGTTTCATTTCACATATTGGTTATTTCATTATGAACCTCCCATTGCAGTCTTACTATCTCCTGTTTAACACAGACCACTTTGTACTAGCCACTCACCTGACACCTTTTATAACCTTGAACTGACTTGTCAATTTTCCTACCCCACACTCTACAAATCTGTTATGACTAGTGACCACCATTGTCTCCCATTTCAATGAAATATTTTGTAATCGATTTCAGCCTAGCACGTTTGTCACACAAATACGACTATTTATTTTGACACCCCATAACTAATCTGTTATTCTACGCTTAAAAAATGTATCCGCCATTATTGTAACGACAACAAAAATTATTATATTTTATAATTGTATGAACTTGAAGAGGAGACATTATTGAAAAGAATATTCTTCGTTCAGAGTGACTTTTGATTTAAGATCAGTTCACCCAAAAAGCTAACCGGAATTGGAGTGATTTGAACTGATTTGGCTTTCTGAACTGAATTGATTCGGGTACACTGTTGATGAGCTCCGTATCAAATGAGCAAAGTAGATGCCCGGAGTTTGGATTACTTCGATCTGGCTAGCGAGCACTACTGCAGTTCGCTCCGTCCTTCTCTATGGTGGTGAGACGTGGCCATTGAGAGCGGAAGACATGAAAAGGTTGACTGTTTTTGACCACATTTTTACGATCTCTTTCTCGCGTTAGGTGGTATAATAAAGTAAGTAATGTTGACGTAAGGCGTAGAGTGTTGGGCAAAGAGGGAAAATCAATCGACGAGGCTATAAAGTTACATAGATTGAGATGGCTAGGTCACGTGCTGCGCATGCCTAACCATCGCCTCTCCCGACGGGCATTACTAGCTGATATAGGTGTTGTGGGTTGGAAAAGAGTAAGTGGTGGCCAAACAAAAACATGGCCTCATCAATCCATAAAATCCCTGACAGTTAAACTGAGTCAGGTAGGGAGATGCAGACTTCCGGGTTGGGGCTCTCGGGACTCTAAGAATCAATGGCTGGAGACAATAGGTGACATGGCTCAAAATCGTTGTCAATGGCTTACGCAGATGTATTCAGTCTCTGTAATCTTTCATATTCCTTTCTACCATTACTCATTCTGTTTCACTCTTATACTTGTCAAAACTCTATTGATTCTCTTCACTCATTTTCTTGTCTACCTTTGTGTGCTATTTGGAACGTAGCAACTCGAACTGCTGCACTTCGGTGCCAAGTTCTATGTTGAATCCAGCCAGCCAGCGAGCACTACTACTCATCTCAATCAATGAGTAGTTTGTAGTGTCATGAGGTATACTTCTATTTTAAAAAAGGAATAAAATACAATAAGTTGATTTGCCCTCGTCATCCGTTCACTTTTTATGCGTCTTGATTTGTAGTATCAAATTATAATGGTCCAAATAGACACCTATATAAAAGTAACTTACGGATACCTCACAATAATCGAACTTCGTACAGTGTACAGATTAAGTGTTCCCTCCAAATTGTAGTACAAATCACATGTTTCATGAATGAATGAAGATGGTGCAGCTTCTTCAAATGTAAGACGAAAGAACATGCTTGAAATATTCACGTCAAACAAAAGCCTGCTGTTAAAATGAGGCATAACTTGTGTTTAGGAAACGATAGTATTGAGAAACTTTTCTGAAATAGTATAGTGTTAAGTAAGGAGATGAAAAATAAATAGCCAATCATATTGTGAGGCTGCGTCGACTGCCACGACTAGGATAAGTGTTACACACACATACACACGTCAAGCAGTATTAGCTAACACATATGATCAAGTTAGAAATGAGTGAGCATCTAATGATTCCATAAAGTCTTTTAGGCCAAGTTAAACCTCAAGCACCACTAACTACCAACGGAGTGCGGCCGCACCAATGACCTTGAAACGCTCAATGAGCAAGTTAGTGAAATCTGGCAAATAATGTTATGATCATCAATAAAATATGCTAATCCAAGTGTTATGCTATTAAATGGGATATCTGGCAAGTTTCAGCTTAGGTTTGAGAAAGATTCAGTTACGCTTTAAGCCAAGGACAAGTTAGGGTTAGGTTAACCTAATAAAGGTCACAATAGGGTTGGTTCGAGTTAGATTACAGTTAGTTTAGGGATATTTTCACGTTAGGGTCAGCTTCAGCAAAGCTTAGGGTCATTGTTAGGGTTAGAAGACCTAAATAATTATGTGCATAGAATGTGGTTAAATTACTCTGTTGATATAGGAGTAGGACTTTGCACTGTGGTAGAGTATAATTATATTGTGGATAACATTTATTTTATTTATTATTACTGATGACCACGTTTCGAGCACAATTTATTGCTCAGTAAATATTACTGTATACCACTATGAAACTTTATCAAAACAAATTTAACCCACAATGGAGTTATACTCTGTTGATACTGTAACCTAAAACTGAGAGCTACTTTTATCACATGTTAGAGAAAGGTATTCTCTGTAACACTTTTATACAGCTTTTATGTATTTGTTTTCATAAATATATGTATTCCATACTCAAAAAATGCCTCCTTCAGGTGATTGGTGCGTTCGAGGTCATTCACTGATTGGTGGTTAGTGGTGCTTAAAGCTAAACTTTGCCGTCTTTTACAGTTGGTTTGAGCCACGTAGGGAGGTGTAGACTACCTGACTGTGATCCTTGAGACGCTGTAAACCAACAGCTGGAAACTGTTGGCGGGGTGGCTCCAAATCATTCTCAATGACACAGGATTATTTTCTTTATCGTCGAAATCATCTGTAGAGGCTGTACAATGTCATTTATATTTACCAAAAACTTATAGTAGTTCGTTACTGAGTAACAGGGAAAGCATTATGGAACAGTCAATAAGCAAATTCTCATAGTCGGGTTACTTTGAGAAAAAAGAGGAGTCTGATCAACTCCTTATCTTCAAGAATAAGAAGGATACGTGCCAGTAATACAGTCGATGGTGAACTCAGACAAGTCCTTAGGAAAAATGGATATCCTTCAAGATTTATCGAGAAAAACACGGAAGCAAAGCAAAAGCCCAAAAGAACACATCCAGTGCCGAAAAAACTGTTATTTATGAACGTTGAATTTAAAGTAGATACCGCAGCTGAGATTCCGAAAAACCAGTTACCTAGATTGCTGAGAAAAGCCTTCTTTTCGGCTGAGCTACGGATCAATTTCCACAGTTGACAAATGACCAATGGATGTGTGAATGATAAACTGACGCTTTGGGCCACTTCAATGTGTGCTTATAAATTCATTTGTTTCTGTGGGGCTAGTTATATTGGCCTCACAAAGTGCAAACTTTCCTAACGCATCTTGGAACATTATCCGGCGGTTACTAGCTCAATTCTCAAGCACTTGATTAACTCCAGCCACGCAGCTCCACCGCAGTCCTATTCCAAGATTATCTACAGGGTGAAACCGAATGGTACAAAAGACGTTAGGTTCCGGCATTTGTGTAGGGCGGAGGCGTCAATTCGTCAATACAACCCCGAACTCTGTGTATGGAAAAAATTTGTCCAGTCCCTTAATCTACCATGGGATTAACCTCTCCATTAATCGTTCCCTGTAGTTTTCATTTTTATATTTAGTGGTTACTTTGCTTTGTCTTTGATAATCAATCATTGTTATCACTCTCACATGTTTCTTTTGTACATTTCCTCACCCTCTTCACATTTGTTGAGTGGACAGTCGACTATCTCTCTTCTCATTCAATAAAAATTTTAACCTTATCAAGTTCCTAACCATTTATTCCTTTATACCGTCAAGTATTAAGTGACCTTTTAATTTTTACTTTTGAAGCCACTTCTGAGTAGTTATTTAATCCCCTGTTACACAATAATGGACTGCAATACGTTTTCGGTAAATATGAATACGACTGTACAGCCTATGAAGATGATTTTGTCGATAAAGAAAATTTACTTCGTTGAATTAT